GTTTCAATCTCCACATACAAAAAAAGAAAGAGTCTGTGTGTGTGTCGGTCGTTCGCGCTGCGCGTAAGTTAATAGACCCACGGCTACTAAATTTGGTACATAAGTGCATCTAGACAAGAGACATTGCACCTCGAAGCGATTTTTTCGAAATTCGAATTAGAATTTTTTACTTCCTTGTACGAAGTAAAAAGGATGTATTGTAATCGCGAAAAGTTTCAGGCAGCATATTTCAACGAATATATCCATTTTGACCGCTATCGAATGCAAGTTAACGATGTTTTTGCGGATATGTACATAAGGACAGAATAAAATACTCTTTTCCTTCAAAAATACAAACTCTTTAAATTAATTCTAAAGAGAATTTTTCGTGGCGCTGTGCGAACGTATTACGTAGTGCGTAAGTACTATCTTGCATAACTCAAAAGAGTAGCCTCAGAAACGCGAAATTTGTATATAGGCTGCTATAACATGTAGAGGTGCACCTCGTATTTGTTGCATCGGCCGAACCAAACATATATAAATATATTTTATATATCCCACTCTGTTACCCGGCTTAGTGATCTCGTTCTTTACACTTATATGTTGATAAATTGTACATTTTTTGCTTTAAAAATGATGAATTATGTTTTTATTTTCCGGTTAAGGATTTTAAGCCTTTAGTAAATCTGTGGGCCATATTTTTAGAATTATCAGCAATTTTAAAGTTTTTATTGCCGCTAAGCCTTTTTTAATGGCGGCATTGATGTTTACATTTGAAACAGACAGTGCATTTGTTGCCAATCTAGAGAAACTTACTTCGCACAACAAAGATAACGCCTCATTGATTATTTAAATCATGCTTAATCCTTTCTGGAATTTTTCGAGGAAATAGCGTCAATTTATTTCGTATTTTTAATATAGATATTTTTGAGTTTTTAGTATTTTGCCTTCTCCCGAAGTGAGAACTGAATTAATTAAATGAGAATACTCAATCGCTGGAAAACTGTTTCTTTTTTTCTTTGTGCTTAATTTCTTTTATACAGTTCTAGCTTATTATAATATTTGAATAGAACATGTGCAACGATCGGATAATTCTATTCTTTAAATTAGATAAATTTTGGCATTATGAGTTATAATATGAACGAAATATATAAGTAACTGTTATACACTTATTGATGATATAACAGTTAATTAGTTTCCGTTATAAAATATTATATAAGTTAACTGTTATATAATTATTAATACTTTTAAATGATCTTGCGCCAGAGTGTCGCTATGGTAAACAAATACTAGAGTGAATTTTAAAGAATGCATTTATTGTATCGTGTTTTGCGCTGTCGCGAAGTAGATTTAATTCAATCCATATGTTTAATGAATGCAAGAAGAAATGCGTATAATTTTATATCGAATTTAATATTCCAATACAAGGAAGTCAGGTGGTGTACACGTCAGATTTTTTTATTTTATGTTTTGTGACGAAATTGCGTCATTTTGAGACATAATGGGTTAGAGAAAAGCGAGATTTTACTCTACACACTCCATTTTTCACATCATCGTGAAACGTAGGCACTTAGCTATTTTACGAACTTAAAATAAATTTCGTGTTTCAATAAATCGATTTAATACGAGTTTATTGAACAAAGGGAGGTTAACACCTTTTCAATGGGATTTTTTCTAAAAAACTTTAAAATAAAGTTATATTTTATTTGGTTTTTATAGATAAAATTTCGTTAATTACTTTGCTTTTTCAGAATTTTTTTGTTTTTGTATTCTTTTATGTTATTTTATTGCTCATTTCATGTATTTAAGATATGAAAAGTTTTGAGTATGTTTTTAGGAAAACAAAAATTCTTAATCTCCTTTATGCCATTTGAGTTCTTAAATTTTGCAAAGGGAAGTTTGTTAATTTATTATTAGGATAATTAATATTTGTATTATGGGATATTGCTTATTTCATTGTAATTTTGTTATACGTAATAACTTTTTTTTTATGAAGTTGTTCTGCAGAGTAAAATTCTACGCAGTTTTTAAATTTAACGTTTGGTTTTTCCCTTCAGTCATTTTTCCGGTACATTTAAAAGCAAGACGAAGGCTGGCAGCGAAGCTGCTAGTCTCTATAATAAAATAAGGAGTCTGTCTGTTTGTCTTTCGTTCGTGCTGGGCATACGTTAATTGACCCAGGGCTACGCAATTTCGTACATAGGTGCATCTACACAAGAGCCAGTGCACCTCGAAGCGATATTTTCAAAATTCGAATCAGATTGTTTTTTATTTTATCTTTTTTGATGAAATCGCATCCTTTTGAATAGTTTCATTCTTTTAGAAATGTGGTTTTAGACACAGTTTTTCATTCAATGCTTTGTATACTGGACTGCTGACTGTTGCAAATACGATATAAAATATTATTAATTATACAGGCAACACGCACATCTCAATCATCTCATTCTGACGCGCATGCGTCTCGCGAGGCACAACAGAAAGAATTTCCTTTTATTTTTCCTCTCTATTAGCTTATGGCAAAGAGGTTTGTATATTTTGAATTATGTCATCCACAATTTTGATTGGTTATTGCTTTCTGATGAATGCAATAACCAATCAAAATTGTGAATGCATTCTTATTCAAAATTGTGGATGCATTCTTTAAGAAATGTTGTTTTGGCAATAGTTTTTTATTCATTGCTTTGGATACTGGACTGCTGACTGTTTTCTCTTCAAAATACGAGATTTATTGTTTATTTCATTGTAATTGTTTTATATTATGTTTTAATTATATAAAAGGTTTGGCATTTTTTTTTAGGAAACAAAGTTCTTAACTTCCTTTATACCATTCGAATTCTTAAGATTTTGCAACGGGAAGTTTTAATTTATTCATTAGGATAAATAATATTTGTGTTAAGGGATATTGCTTTATTTCATTGTAATTTTTTTATATGTAATACATTTTTTATTGAAATTTCTTTCTTTCTTTTTTGCTTCCTTGTCCGAAGTAAAAAGGAAGTATTGTAATCGCGAAAAGTTTCAGGCAGCATATTTCAACGAAAATATCCATCTTGACCGCTATCGAATGCAATTTAACGATGTTTTTGCATGATATCTGTACGTAAAGACAGAAAAAAAAAGACTCGTTTCCGCCAAAAAAATTATAAAACTGCTTTAACATGAATTCTGAAGAGAATTTTTCGTGGCATCTGTACGAACGTATGTACGTACGTACGTAAGTACGTACGTTCGTATCTTGCATAACTCAAAAACGAGTAGCCTCAGAACGCTGAAATTTTTGTATAGGACTGCTATAACATGTAGATATGCATCTCGTATTTCGGTTGCAATCGGCCGCACCAAACGTATATAAATATATTGTTACGAATTTGGTATTTAAAAAGCTAATGTTAGTTCAATTATAAATTAAATGATTTCAACGCAGTGCGTGACGAATATTAAAAGAACAAAGCTAAGCCGGAAAATTAAAAATACTAGAGCACGTGCATTTAACATTAAATAAATAAATATGTCTTTTTGATTTCCAGAAAGTACTAGAAAATTCTCGCACGTGATTTTAAAATCTTATAAAAAGAGAAAAACCTCTCAGTTCGTGGTAATTACTTAGTTTGTTGCTGTTTAGGAAACTGCTGTTGTTGATTGTAGCGAATTCGCGGATTAGCATTCTTTAGCTGTTTTGGAATTAAGTTCTATTGAACATTTGAGTAGTTAAAAGATAACTACTGTGAGATATTGTAATACTGCACGATAATTTGAGGAAATTTAAGCATATTTCTTGTGATAATAATAAATTTTTGTTCATTTTTCATCGAACTTGTGCATTCATTTCGTAACGAACCCGTACGCACGCAACAATATTTATATATATATCCACTCTGTTACCCGGCTCAGTGATCTCAGTTTTTTACTCTTATATGTTGTAAATTGTACATTTTTTGCTTTAAAATGATTGAATTATGTTGTTTTTATCTTCCGGTTAAGATTTTTAAACCTTTAGTAAATCTGTATGCACTATTTTTAGAATTATCAACAATTTTAAAGTTGTTTAAGTGCCGCTAAGCCTTTTTTTATGGCGGCCATTGATTGTTTACATTTGAAACAGCAGACTAGTGGATTTGTTGCCAATCTGGAGAAACTTAGCTTCGCAACAACAAAGATAACGCCTTCATTTATTATTGCCAATTAAATCATGCTTATTCCTTTCTGGAAATTTTTCGAGGAAATAAGTGTTTAAGATTTACTTCGTAATTTTTAATGCAGATATTTTGAGTTTTTATGTATTTTTGCTTTCTCGCGAAGTGAGAACTGAATTAATTAAATGAGAAATACTCAATCGTCTGTGAAAAACTGTTTCTTTTTTGTTTTATTTGCTTAATTTCTTTTATACATCCTTCTAGCTTTATTATAGTATTTGAATAGAGCATGTGGCAACGATTAGATAATTCTTTAAATGATATAAATTTTGTGCATTCTGAGTTATAATATGAACGACGAACGAAATATAATACTGTTAAGTGAACCTAACCAGAGTGTCGCTATGGTAAGCAAATATAAAGAATTTTAAAGAGTGCTTTTATTCTTTTGTGGTTTATGCGCTGTCGACGAAGTAGATTTAATTCAATCCAAGAAGTTTAAATGAAATGCAAGAAAAAATGCGTGTAATTTAATACTCCGTGCAAGGAAATCATGTGGTGTACACATCAGATTTTTTTTAATTTTATGGTAATAACTGCATATTTTTTTTTAATATTTTGACATTTTGCTGTTTTTATAAATTTATATTTATCAGAGAAGTGAAGCTTTAATTTTTTTAAAAGCTGAGTTGAGTTTCAATTTCATACAGCGGTAAAATTTAATTTGATGAGCTGGCAGCAGTATATATTTTTTTTCAGTTAAGAAAACAACCCACCTATTTATATAATTTTTATATTTTAAATTGAATTCTAATTTGTAAAATTACAATAAATTTTACTCGAAAACTCTTTTTTGAAGCATTTGATTGTAAGTTTTTGTTTATTTAGCAATGGTCTGAAGCCAAGTCCCTACTACTACAACCTAGTACGCTACATGTGCTGATGAAGACTATGGAATGTTCAAAAAGCGATTAATGTCAAAGCAATCTCTGTGTGAAAAAGAAGATCCTCTTGGTAAGTTTATTTCTTGAATTGATGATAAACTGAGACTGATTTGCAGACTGCAAAACTCACATTCCTTAAATAGCTTTTTTTTTAATCCAAAATGGCGGGAACGCGTGGGCCGGCGAAAATTCGGACAATCTGCGAGACTATTAATCAAGACGGCAGGCATCTTCGTGGCGCCGAATCCGACTCTTGCTTCGAAATTCGTTTAGCTTTCCCCTACCACAGATAAGTTGAGCCCGCCCCCCTTCTTTGCAGAAACAGACGACCACCCTGCTCAGGAATCTGTCGAATTTGTGAGACTTAAAGTTTACTGCGCAAATGTGTCCAAATAATATTCATTCTTTGTTATCCAAGCTTAGATAAACGGGAGGAAGAACTTTTTTACCAGTACCAACATAGATTCATAGAAGCATTTTTTTATATTCAAATCAACATACTTTAGTCTCTGCAGATCACTGTTACTCATGATATTACTGATAAGCATCAATGGGATTTTGTAAACATCATAATTCCTAGGAACAAAGTTTCCACCAGTTTAAATGCCAGCATATCTTAGAGGTGTGAAAGATTTCACAAATATGACAAAATCCTAGAGTTGTGAAAAATTTCAGAGATAAGGAGCATTGTATGCTATGCATTATTCTGCTTAATTTTCCGACATGGCTTTAAAATTACATCTAATAATTAATATTACTAAAAATGAAAGCTGTTTAGTATGGGGAATGAAATATATAGGTTATAGTGTTGAGTAAACAACATTATTTCTACGGGTGCAGACTATTTTCCTGCCTTGCACCACATCAAAGAACTATATGCTTGTGTAATATTATTTGAAAATATCTGACGTGGACACCACATGACTTCCTTGTATGGCCTATTAAATTATACAGTTTTTTTTTTTTTTTTTTTTTTTTTTTTTTTTTTTGTACTTCATTTAAACTTATTTCTTCAAATTTCATTAGAGCTATATTTGTTAGTTAATCAGTATTTTTCGCCAAGGCAAAAATCTCACTTTGCGACAAGGCAAAAATGCATAAAATCTCAAATCATCTTCATTAAAAACTGTAAAATTCAGAAAAACATAAAACACCAAATAAAGTTACAGGCAGTTTAAAAAAAAATTGCAATTAAAATTAGAATTCCTATGCAAAAGCAAGCAATACAGCCAGCGAGCAAGAAGACAGATTTTACGGTGCATAAAATTGAAAGTTTATTTTTAAAAGACACTAAAGTTAGTGCTCCAACTGACTTATCCAGTTGCAATCAGAATTCTGAAGTTGAATCATTTTTTAAAAATTCGAGGATACCAGATTCTATATTCGTGGATCCCTGGACACGTTGTCATTAAGGGGAATGAATTGGCGGATATTGCAGCTAAAACCGAAACCACAATGTACAATCTTCAGATTCCACTAGCAGACATCAAAGGGTTTGTCAAAAGCAAAATCCTCAGCAAATGACAGAAGCAATGGGATGACAAAGTATATAACAAGCTGAGAAATGTAAAACCCACCATTGGATACTGGCCATGTATGGCTAATAGAAAGGAAGAGTCCTCTTGACTCGATGAGAATTGGCCATTGTCGCCTGACCCATGAGTATCTTCTGAAGGGAGAAGAGAATCCCAGCTGTCCAAACTGCAATGCAGATCTGACAGTCCATCATATCTTGGTGGAATGCCAGAGTTTTAATTATTTTCGCCAAAAACATTTTAATTGTTCAGAACTGGACTTAGGAAATTTATTGGAAAAAACACATCATCGTAATTTGTTTTTGTTTTTAAAAGATATTGGCTTTTATAATAGACTTTAACCTGTTTTTTAAAGATATCAGCTCTTATCATAGACTCTAATCGTCTCTTCTTACCTAAGCTGGAAGTTTTACAATACTAATTGCATTGTTACCATTTGTCTGGCGCAGATAACCTTGACAGGTTTTGTGCCAAATTACAATAATCCAATCCAATCCAACTGACTTAATTCACTATTCCACTAAGAATTCCAAATGTAAATAGATGGCGACCTCTTAGGCTTAATACTACTCTAACAACTTCTAAAATGTTTATAATTCTACAATTATCGCATGCAGATTAACTAAAGGTATAAAAACCTTGACTGGAACATAAAAACAGCATAATTCAATCAATTTTAAAGCAAAAAATGTAGTTTACCAATATATAAGAATTAGAAACTGAGCTCACAAGTCGGGTAACAGAGTGAGTACATATATATATATATATAAACACTTTTGGTGCGTCTGATAGCTACATAAAAGGGAGGTGCACAACTACATGTTATAGCAGTCCCATATATAAAATTTTAACGTTCTACGGCTTCTCGTGTTTGAGTTATACGAATAGTACGTACAGACGTCACGAAAATAAAATCTCTTCTGAATCTATTTTAAATCTATTTTACAATCCGTTTTGGAAAAAGAGAACTTTATTCTGTCCGTACGTACAGATGTCCCCTCAAAACATTGTTCAAATGGATTCGAGATCGGTCAAAATGGCCTATTTTTGTTGAAATATTGTACCCGAAATTTTTCGCGATTGCAATACTTTCGTTACTTCGCGCAATTAAGAAAGAAGAAGGGATATTCGAGATTAATATGATACTAATTCTTAACAGTTGTCCTAAAGTTAAAACACAGTATAGCCCAGCTGTTGATAAGTATTACATTGGTGTATTACTTTTTGCATCTAGAAGTTGGTTTAAAATTAAACTAGTATCAAATCTTTCCTGACCTGTGCACACGAGGCCACATGAAAAAATTAAGATACACTAGTGGCTGAATGGCTAAAGTAGCAGCGCTACAGTTTACCTCCTAGCCCTCTGGCCGACAAGGCCGTATATATGCGGCTTGGAATATTTTTTGCGATATCTGTAAGAACGTATATATACGTTCATCTTAAAATATGTCCAGGTCCACCAGCGGCCGAGCGGTAAAGTCGCTGAACACTGGTAGTTCGGTCCAAGGTTCGAATCCCGCGAACGGGCTGGCTGCATGGGTGTTTTCGTGGTTTTCCCCATGTGTAACGTGTATACGAGCCAGTTTCCCTTAGAAAGTCCTCCACGAAGGCACCCCTCCCTTTAGGCAGATAGCCCTCGAGGCATTGCCGTAATTAATAACCTAACCTAAAATATGTCCAAGAAATCAAGGTAATATATTAAAAGTAAATAAATCCAAGTGTAAAGGGGTAAATCCAAGTATTCCTAGGGACATTTTGACATTAAAATAATACTCTCTCATGGTAGTTATGGGAAATTTGCGCTTTCTTAGCGAAAACCTGGACCGGTCAGAGAGCTAGAAGAAGGGGCTGAAGATTGACGGACACCTTAACATTTTGGTTCGTTGCTCTCTTTTATATTGTTGCGAAATGTCCAAGCGCGGTGCGATAGCTTCCCCGCAAAGCAGGTTTAGGGTTGCCATAAAGAAGCAACTGAAGGCAGAGTCGCCACATTTGGCGAGAAACCGCCCGTTTGGCGATGTTTGGCGACTAAATTGGTGATATGCCATGGACGGATGGAGAACCTTCTGGAACGAATTCTTACCGGTTTAGCCCAGAATGTTCTCGAACACAAGCCGAAAACTATATAAACCCTGCTGGTCCGCAGTCAGTCAGTGTGTGCCTCATCTAGTGAGCTGATAGTCAGTCCGTGCGGAGTCGATCGAGTTGACAGCCGCGCAGCGAGTGCCGAGCGGGTCGTCGAGTGCATCGAAAGTCTCTTAGTGTATCGCGGTTAGTGCATCGTCGGGAGAATGTGTTAAGCTCCGGGAACGACTGAATCGAAGAGTCGGGAGCTGTGCTCTGTGTGTCGTCGAGTGCATCGCGAGTTGTAGCGTGGAGAGTCTCGAGAGTACGTAGAGTTCCGAGAACGACCAAGCAGAGTCGGCAGCTGTACTCTGGTGTTTTTCAGTGAAGCTATTTTCACCGTGATAGCCTGATAACCTGAAGGCTGTGTCGCTGGTCGTGTCAGCATGTTTATAGTAGTTCATCGACGAATGTAAAACGTGTTTTGGAGCTGTCCTGACAATACTGGCCAATAAAGTGTGTTTCGAAACTTCATCCAGTAGTGGCGTCATTATTCACTCCAAATCCATACGAAACCCCGTACGAACGTGAAGGAAGAAAATAACGTACAACTGGTGTCAGAAAAAAAAAAGTAACAATATTATGTTTACAGGTTTTATTCAGCTTGGATCCTCTGTTAGTTGGTTTGTTAGACTCAAATTTCAATCTCAAAGTCTCGTGTGCGGCAGGAATATGAACAAAAATTAACGAAATAAAATACAAAATAAAACAATACAAAATCAGTTTCATCTCTATATTTTGTTGGAGAGATCTCGGCTACTGATGAACTGCGTATACAAGTGGAAGGAGGCCACTTCCAACACCTCTTCTAACGCATTTTCATTTCTCAAACGTAAAGACAAGCTATGTTAAGAGTCTTTTTCATTTCATTCTGTTATATGAGATCTTTATCACATTTTTCCTGGGGCCTCTTTCGAAGGGGACACCCTGCATCTTTGGACATAAAACATCTTTAAAATCATTTTTATTTGTTGTCTTTGCTGCGCGCAGAAAATAAGATAAAAATCTTATATTCTAGCAAGTTTTGCCGCTGTGAAACATTTGGTTGGTGTCTTTTCCCTTGAATGTCAAATGGATGGATGCATGCCTGGAAATAACAGCTTTTGCTGAAATTTTATGTACGGGACTGTTATAGCATGTTGCTGAGCACCTTCCTTTTTGGTTGCTAACGGGCTCACCTATTCTTAGATGTTGATAAATTGTGCATTTTTTGCTTTAAAAGTAATTGAATTACGTTGTTGTCATGTTCCGGTTAAGTATTTTATGCCTTTATTTAATCTGCACGCCATCGTTGTAGAATTATCAACAATTTAAAAGTTAAGATACAATAACACGCCGAACAACTATTAAATTAGAATTCAAACAACAAAAATCAGCGTTATATTTTCAAATTTTCACAGGTTTCGATGGTTTTACCGAACCATCATCCT